TCCTAAACTTTCTCCATCTTTCTGTGTCTTCAGCTCGAGCGAAACACTCTCCCTCCATTCGTTGTGGAGAGAGAGGTTTAGCAGCTGGGATTTGCCATCACCAGCCTAAAAATGGTGACCAAACTTTTTCTTTCCCCTCTCCTTTTCCTTCTCCTCTCCCCCTTGAAGAAATAAAAAAATTAAAATCAGGCCGCGTTTTAACTTCGGTTATGGATGTTTCTGTGTTTCTTTTTGTCTTCCTTTCTCTTCCTCCTCCCTTCCTCCCCTTTCTTTCCTTCCACTTCATTGGCTGGGATGATCTTTCCCTGTTGCTTCTGATGTTTCTTTCTTTTTCTCAGTGTGTGCCTGCCTACCTGGACTAGGGGGAAGATAAGGTAATTTTGAAGGGCTTGAGGAAGTGGCTTACCTGTTCTGAAAACTTCTGGGGTTTTTTGAGATTTCTTTTTAGGAGTCATGAAAATCAGTAATTGAAGAGTTTGGTAGCAGCTGGGCAGGTTGAAATTTAAGTGTTATGTGCTGAATGCCTTGGGAATTTGATCTGCTTTATACCAAAGAAGAGCACAGAGAAAAGTATTTATTTGTTGGGGAAAGGCGGGGAGCAGGGGGGAAGGAAAGAGGGTTGAGGGAGGGGGAGGGAAGTGGTTTTGGAGACAAGAAGTGAAGCTGCCTGTTTTCCAGTAAGTAATGGAGAAATTCCAGGAGCCAGGGCTAAATATACTTGGCGATCAATACAGAAATGGCTCATTGTGAATAATTTAGCTGCCTGGTGCAGTGAGAGTTTTGAAACTAAAGGCAAAAAAGAGGCTGTGGAGGGAGAGAGGAAATAAAATTCTTCTCTGGTCATGTCAGATTCTTAACTTTTCCACTTAAAAGAACATAGTTATGATTATTGATCCCTCTCTTATTCCCCCCCCCCCAATATATATCAAATGATAGCTAGGGGGTGTCATTCTATACAGTTACTTGGGTTTCGGGAAAGTAATAGCTTGTTCTGTGTCAGCAAAGTGCTTCCAGAAACTTTAAGATTGCTTCACACCACAAAATGTATGATCTGGGAGTTTTAAGTGTGATGTTTGGCCCCGTGCTGTGGTAGATAAATAGGATTGGAATGAACAGGTGTGTGTACAGGTGTGTGTGTGTGCACAGAGGTGTGAGACAAAGAGCTGGAACAGCTCTGTTGGAGGGGAACAGACACAGGAGGGTTTATTTTGTTTAGATCAGGATGGAGTCTCTTGTAGTGTGTGTGAAAAGAGCAATTGTTAAAGGTATCCATCTCCTCAAAGTCTGTTCTGGCTACAAGAGCGGATAAAGCGTTACCATCCCAGCTTGAACAAAACAAGTGGAAAGTCAGAGAAAAAACTCTCAAATCGGGCAAAAATGTGAGTGGGGCAGAGAGAGAGGGGGATGGTCAGATCAGGATGATCCCAGTGCCACCTGCCCAAGAGGCAGCTGCTTTTCTTTACTCACATAATTTACAGGAAGAGTTCAGTGATTTGCAAACGAGCACATGCAATGCACTTGTGTGTTTCTCTAGGCAGTGGTTGCAACAGCAGTAAAATGGGCAACTACTTAGGGCTTTAAGTAAGTTTAATCATTTAATGGTTGATACTGACAGGAGTCTCTGAGGGTGTACTTTTCTGCCTTGCAGCACTGCACTTTGACTATGGAAGCAGAGGCTGCTGATGGATATATAACATGTAAGTAGTCATTTCATTTGATTATTCTGAATTACTTTTCTTTTCCCACTATCCTTTCTATAATGCAGTCACCTGAAACTTTAGGTTCCTTATGTATGGTCTTTGCATTGATACTGAATTAATAGCATTTAAATATAAGCTCTCTGTATGACTGAGAAATGCATGGGGATGGGTGCATGGGTGAGTATCTCTAGGTTTAAATGTTTGCTGGGGGTAAATGAACTTACCAAATGAGAGAAAGTTTGTCTTCAGAAATTCAAATTGCAGCCAAAACCTTTTTATGCCTTTCCCTATGCATTTCTCTTGTTTTCTTTGTGGGGGTTTCTGTAAGTGCTTTGTTTGACTGTCAGTTAACCCTGAGCTTTGGGGGGAAGGTCTGTATGGTGAAGTACTGTTCTAGTCTTCCCCTGCCCAGCCTGGATTGTCGGTGTCTGCTAATGGAAAAGTAATCCTAACTCACTTGAAACCAAGCAGCTGGGGCAAAGTTTGTCACAGGTGTGTGTGTAAAAGACTGGTGACAGTGAGGGGGGGGCTCTTAAAAATCAGTCAAACGTTTGTTTGTGTCCAGTGGGATTTTACAAGCTCTGGGAAGACCCCACCAGTAAAGGAGGGAAGGGCAGGGGTGAAGGGAGCAAGCGGGTTGTGGTTCTTGATCTTTGTGCAACTCTGCTGAAGAAGGGGCTGGAAACTCACGGGGAACTCGTTTTGTGCACACAGGTGACAATGACTATTCTCCTGAGAGGGAGCACTGCGGCATGGCCATTGACCTCACCTCCAGCACTCCCAATGGCCAGCACGCCTCCCCCTGTCACATGGCAAGCAGTAAGTCTCCTCTTAAGCCTGTTTCTCTCTAGCAGAGGGTTGGGTTGGTCTGGTCCTCTGGGTCCTCGGCTTGCTTACCTGGTCTTAACCACTGCTGTGGGCATTGCTAATAGCAGAGGAGGACAAGGGAATTTTGTTGGGTTTTGTTTTGTTGGTTTTTTTCTTTCTTGTTCATGCTGGTGTCTCATCTAAACATGAACGGGATTACTAGTCTGAACTATCCTAAGGTGGCATTTGAGAGCTGGTCCTTACCTGTTCCAGGTAGGAAAACACTAGGCTTGGCATATGCTGGTTTTGTTTCCTCAGGTTTTGAAATCCAAATGGAAGTTGGTGTTATTATTACTTACTGTGCTTCCCAAAACAGCTTGAAGTAGCTTTATTTGAAAACAAACAAATTTTATTTACAAAAAAGCTTCACTCTGGCAAAAGTATAAAGTTAAAATATCTGGGTTTGATGACAGGTTGTATTTTACTGTTCCATACAGTAACTTCAGCATGCTATTCATTACTTCAGCTTTGCCTTTGCAAGTCCAAAAGTGGCTGGGATAATTGGGAGTTTATGGCACTTGGTCGTTGACTCTAAGAAACTGAAAGGATTTTGGTTTAGAATGTCGAGGGGAAACTCAGAAAATGTAGAGTTTTGGGAGTCTACTGAGAGTGTCAAGTGCTGGTAATATTTCTGTAATTATTCTCATGCTGTCTATTGGAGGTGGATAAATATAGTTTACACGCATTTCATAAAAGCAACATTCTCTCTTTTCCGTGTGTGAGTGCTGTAGGTTGTTTTACTGGTGGCTACAGTGTTACATCAAGATATTTACCTTAATGTAACCTCTCTACTTGTATTCAAGAAACCATGTAATATGCTTTGCTTCCAACATGCTTAATTTTCTTTCTGGTTTGTGTGTGCTGTAGATACATATCTATCTTTTTAAACAGGGTATTTGTATAATACCCCCCCCAAGAACTGTATGAAAAAAAAAATAAAACCAAAACCAGAGCTTTTAGGGTTGCTAGCTTGAAAATACACAGTATATTGACTTCAAAGTTTTTCTGATTGAGAAAAAGATGTTACTTTCCTTAAGAATTCTTTCCTCCTGCAAATTATGAGTAAAACACAGCTTTATGAGCCTTTAAAAATGAGGGTTATTACAAAGATCTCCCAATTATATACATGTTGCTGGAGAATATGATTGGTAATACTGTGAACTGAACTTTATATGACAACCGCCCATAATTCAGCATCTTTAGACAATTCCAGTTGTACGGCACTGGGAGTCTGATATACTTTATTATGTTGTAAAAGTTTTACTACTCACTTTCTTCATTTTCTTTGTTTCCTTTTTATTAATGGGAAGGCTTCATTGGAAGGGAAAAAATCTCCGTGTTTTAAATCTTCTTTATAATCTAGACTGAAAATCAGAGTCAAATTGGGGAATAAAAAGATCTGGGCTGAAGCAGTGCAAAAACTCTGTAACACATTCAGTATTTTCATGTTCACTGTGTTAACATTTTCAGTGGTTTTTAAGCTTTGTTAGTTCTTGCGACACACATGTATCTGCAGCCTCCGTGAATATCTTGTTTTTTTAGAGGTGTTTCTTGGTCTCTCATAGGTGTCTCAAATGCTTTCACCACTGCTGCTCTGTGTTAAGCAGGTGCCGCTGTTGAAAAATTAAGGGCTCTGCCTGACTTTCCCAAGCCAAGCAAAACTCAAGCTTCTTAAATTTGTTGTAATTTATTTACTCTTTGCAGGCTGAAGAACGTTTTTCAGAGAGGCGGTTTGCGCTGCCTTAAACATGGGAGGTATTGATCAGAGGTTGTCGGCTTTTGTGGCAGCTGTTATGTTGGTTCATTTAAGGTTTTTGGCCAAATCTCGAATCTGGCATGTGTAGGCTAAATCTCCAGGCTGCGCCTTAGAGCTTTCCACCTGTTTTGCAGGGCATGGGGAATCCTTTTAAAGGTTTGGTAACCCAGGGACCCGTGACCTCTTTTGTTTTTTGTTTTTTTTTTTTAAGGAGTGGTGGGGATGGGTGGGTAAGGAGGAATAGCTGTTTGAAATATTTTTTATGAATTTGGTAGCTCTAAATGGATTGATCCATCATCCATAGTTTTAATTGGAGGAAGTAGCAGTGTTATATTTCTGTGTGGTTTGATGTCCAGTGGGTCACTGGAGACTCAGTGATGTTGGCTGCTGTTATAGTGAAGCCCAGAGCATATCATTCTGGCTGGGTAGGGCTTCCTAATGGAGGAGGGGACGTGGGGATCAGACCCCAAATTCCAAACATTTCACTCCTGGTTTGGTTGCTCGTCATCCCCAGGAATGGATGGCCCTATTTGGCTGTGTGCTCTGGATGTGCACCTGCAAGGTAGAGATCTAAGTTTTCACCTTTGTTCTTGCGTTCCATTAAATTGTTTTGAACCACAGCTCTTAATTTAGTCTGAATTTGTGTCTGACTCAAAAGGAGAAACACCATGAGAAGGAAATTTCTTGGATCTGCACCGAAATGACTGAGTAGTGCTCTCCCAGCAACAGCAAAATTATGTGCTGGGTAAAGAGTTTTTTAGTTCATTAGCCCTTGGCAATCTGTGTTACTACTTCTGTCTGGGCTGCTGATGTTTTCAGGTTTGATTCAAAAAGGTTTTGGGTTAAATGTTTTGGCTGCTGCATCCTTTAACCTATTATCATTTTCAAGTATCTAGATTATATTTGTAGGTTATGGATGGGGCTGACACTCAATTTTCCTTGTGAATGAGGTGATCCTGAAAGATGAATCACGCTAAATCGCCTGTCATAGCTAACTGATGATCTTACAGATACCTGCCTTTAGCAGAACACTGCATGTGTGTTGGCAGATGCTCTGTTCTAAAACACTCTATTGTAGTTTTATGTAAGCAAAGATTTCAAATACATGTAAATATTCAAATCTAATAGGTTGATAGATCACCTCACTTCTCTCTACAGCGAAAGACAAATTAGTGTTATACCTGCTGAGTATAGATGACATATTTACATAGCCCCAAATCTGGAAGTCCAGGTTTTCTTCTGATCTTCTGCAGGAAAACTCTTCCAAAGGCTGACACCCAGAGCTGGGCGTCAAAGGCCTGCTCAATTAACTTTGTGTTGGTACTAGAGGGTTCTCTGCATGGCCCCAAGCCCTCCTGCAGACCCCACCGAGTTCAAGGGAGTCGGTCTTGTTGCCTTCAGTGAGTGTTAAACTGGGCTCTAAGTGATCAGAAACCTCCGAATGGGAGCTGGCATGCTAATTAAAGGCTAATGGGGAATCCTTATAAAAGAGGCTTTAAAAAGAAATAATTCCCAGTCACCTCTTCATAATACCACACTGAGTTCTTACTGCAGTTATTAGAGATATTTTTTTTTCCCTGTAGGTTAAAATGGACCTAGAGGAATGTCTGCTTTAGAGACTGCAGGGGCACAGTCATTCAATTAGTTGACTCAATCAATTCTTTGTATAGGATGAAGGATACTTCTCTAAGATCACTTGCCTGGTATCATATGGAAAATAGTAACAGCAGCTATTAGCATCTGACAGTCAGTGGCAGAGGCAATTTCCCCTTAAATTAGAGACTTGACAGTGGGTGTCCCAGTTAACTTTCTTATCTTTCCTTTCACAGACAAAAGGAGCCCTTAAATGAAACAGAGTCAGAACAATCATAAATATCAAACCCAGCATCTGATGTTTTAAACTGATTAAAATTGTGGTACACTTTCAAGAGGTGTTTATAGTAGCTTGAAGTGTTACTAAGTTATGAGAATTAATTTATTAAGAAAATGAGCCATGTCGGCTGACTCTGTTGCAGAAAATAATGAGGGGACTGCATTTTCTTTGTGGTGGGTAACAATCACTCTGTCTGACAAGGTGGCTAATTGGGACAACAGTATTAAGGGTAAATGATTTCAGCAGCGATATTTAAAGTGAACTTGGGCAAGGTTTTATTGTAGTGTAACCACTACTATATTCCCAGTGATCAGGGTGGACTATCAGTTGCACTGTTTTTTTGTAACATCAGAGCCTCAAATCTTTCTTGATTACTTTCATTTTTCAACTGAATTGTCATACAACCCCTGTTTTGTCACAGTTATGTTGCCCCTAGGAGAAAGTTTGTGTACCATAGCTGTATCAGCACATCTGTAGGGATAAAGAAACGTAACTGTGGAGCCTGCCTTTTGGAATGAAACTGTGTAAAATTAGAGATTGTTCCATGCCTCCATGGCAAACAAGCCTTACCATCACCAGAGTGCCCTGCCCAGGCACATGAGGATGGACCTTACACTGGGATTCTTTTTGGCTCAGTATGTGTTGTGTTTTTTTTAGTAGGATGAGGTGATAAAGGCTGAACCTCTGCAGGAGGCTTTTCTTTAGGGAGGGTGGTTGAAGCTGGTTGGATTGGGCTGCAGAGGGGGGCTGAATTGGTGCTTTGAGGCAGTCACTCCCCTGACATGTGCACTGGGGCATGAAGAATTCTGTCTCCAAAACTTCTGTGCTCTGAACTAGGGATTTAGGTCTCCAGTTCCTCCAAATATCTTGGAAAGTGTGAAACATGGCATATGGTGCTAAAAATTCAGACCAGATTACCTCAAGATGCTGAGGAATCTCCTCTCCTCAGCAGTTAAGGAGTAGGGTAGGCAGCATCTATTGGTCTGGGTATCTTTGATCCTGCCTCAGTGCAGGGAGGTGGACTTTTGACAGTCACTTGAGATGTCCTTTGGTCTTTTGTGTCTGACTTTGCAACCTTGACAGTTTGTTTGGGGAGCTCAGCTGTGGAATCGCACGATGATGCCCGATACAGACATACCTGTGGTTTTGCAGGTTGAAGGACAGTGAAGATGGACTTTGCCAAGATGAGCTCAGACATGAGGGATGAGCTCAATAAAGTCTGGCAGGGAACTGTAAGTAGTGAGGTCCTTTGTCACTCACAAGAGCACTGTCTGTGCTTCAGTCTTTTATCTTAGACTCCCTGAGAATTTCCAGGGCAATAAT